TATGAATACTCTAGTGTTGGAAAAAAACAAAAATGTCAGAGAAATACAGAAGTCAAATAATGGAGAACTAGTGTGGAACAAAACACTTTTTAAGGTATTGTTCTAAGAAGCCCCAAAACTGTGTGGCAAACCACAATGCCAGTGTCCTGCTTGGGGGTGGGAAATGTTCAGGAGTTGGCAAGTGTGGATAAAAGTAACTGTTAGAAAGAATGAAACCGATGCAACCGAAACCCTCAAAAATCTCTCCTGGAGTCTGTGGTTTGTTTGCATCAGGCTAGAAAGACAGTGAGAACACAGATACACTCAAGTTTAATGTGAGGAAAGCAATACACAGCTTGGGAAGATGATCCCAGCACAGGATGCAGGTAGGAAAGGTGAGGGTCTCTCAGTATGGAAGGCTTTTACTTACTTATTTATCTTCTTTTTATCAAAGATAATGTAGATGATCTGTCATATGCCACGAGTGTATTTTACAATCCCACGCTTGAAAGATGCTTCTGTGGTGGAATGAACAGGAATTGGGTATGAGATGGTGTCTGTGTTGCTACCAACAGTTACGAGTCATCTTTAGACAAGTCTTCATCAGATCTCTTCAGGAGCAACATGAGTAGGGTAGTAGTGTAAGGAATCATGAGTTTGTAAATGAAGCTGCACCGTCCGTGGTTGATAAATAAATGGTCAACAACATGAATTCCAGTATCTTACAGTCAGCATCTTAACTGGCCACAGTTTTGACGTTCCAACTGCTGCAGTGTGTGAGCATTACTGAAAACATGGAAACAGTTCTTAGTGTGTGTTTGCAGCCTGCTTGGAAAAACAAACAAACAAGAAACCACCCACAACAACAAAACCCCCGAAGCTGTTTCAAGGTAGACAGAATGTAGCCTTGTATACCTCAGGGCATGTGAGAGGTGGAAGCTGACTGTGAAGTAGGCATGAAATGGGCATGAGTTAAGGGACTGCCTTATACCAGCCCACAGATAGAAGGTTCACTCAGAGAACCTCAAATTTTAAGTGTGCTTTCTTATGATGTGTGGAGTGATATTTATCATTGTGGCATTAGATCTTCCAGTTTTTCCCTCCAGTTCTTTGCATCATTGTTAAACTCCTGCCAGAGCAGCACTACCAACCTTTTTCTGAACTACGGGAGGTCTGTGTGTTTGGAAAACTTTTCTCTCATAAAAAGGATGTTGAATTGTTCAAGTCTTTTGCAACGAAGTGTCCTCATTGGCTGTACTTTTCTTTCTGTGTTTTTAAAGGTTAATTCACCCTAGAATAGGAGTATGCCACTTCAGGTCCAGAGCCACACGTTTCGTGCAAACAGCTGTAAAAGGATGTGAGAGTGCTGAATAACCAGTCATGTCCCTGGAGCATGCATGTGACCTGGCACGGGCTCAGAACTGCTGCCATCTCCATTCAGAGCTTAGAGCAGATTAAGTTGGAGAATTCTTCCTTCAAGGCCTGTTTATCAAAGGCTTGTTTGAACTGTGCAGTTCATATATTTGGCTTCCATGTAATGATAGGAAATACATCACTGTGAATGTGGGAGTTTTTGAGCCAAATGGCTTTGGCTTGAGTGAGTTTAGACTTTGCAGATTTGCTGTTTACTCTGCAGAATTGTAAACACTGAGATTTGGATTATTTTATGATTTTTTTTAAATTATCCTTTTGTCATTACTTGTGATACAGATTTCAGTTTCCCTAGATGATCCTATTTTGAGATGCAAATGCTTTAAGCACATGGTGCTGTTTTGGGGGGGTTGTTTTTGTGCAGGTTTGTTTGGGTTTTTTTCATTCAAAAGCAGATGTTGAATTTTACTCTTGGTTTGCAACAAGTAATACTTGTGGTGCAGCACTAGTCAGTGTAGATTGCATACTTTGTGTGGGTAAAATTTTCTCCTTGTCTTATCTGTTGCCACAGTGTTTGTGCATTATTTGCATTAACATATGACATAGTACTACCTGCTGGGAACTGTGTGTTGAAACTACTGAGCTGTGAAGAGGGAGGGAGGGACCTCGGGCTGGTCTGGTCCATGGGCTGAACACCTGAGCAATTACCACAGCAAATGTATTCATTTTCTGGTTGAGTTTCACCCAAAGTGAGTCCTGTTGTACACTGCTAAGACTATTCAGTGATGCAGACCAGAAGGTAGCAAGTGAAAATCATCAGATGTGCAGAAAGGATTGCTCCAAAAGCACTTTTCTCATTCCAGCTAAAACACTGCTTTAGAGACCTCCCCCTCTTGGTTTAGAGCAGGCTGAAATAAACACTAAGCATCCCGTGGCTGTGATGTGAAAGGAAGAGGGAAGGCTCGGAAACTTGTTCACGTGTAAATAACTGGGTAGTGTTGCTGTTTCCATTGCTCTGTGATAGACTAAGTATTGTACGTGTTCAAAAATTGTGTTAAACTGTGATACACAAGGAAGGAGCTTTTAGTCTTCGTAGCTCTTAAACCTTGTGCAAGCTCCAGCAGGGACCTGTGCTCTCAGGGCTCTCCCTGGTCAGGGGAGAGCAGTGACTTTGGAGGGTATGGTCACTCGATCAGGCAGAGGCAGTGTCTTGTTCAGAAACATTAGTTCCTCTACGTTGTTCAGAAGCAAAACCTAAGGCCCTGAGTTGTCATGGGTGACTAATCAGTACAGTACCGTGTGTGGAAGGGATTTAGTAGCCTTCAAACCAAGCTGCTCTTAATCTGAGCAGTCCAAAGACTGGCAAAGTTTCTTACAATGAATGTGCTGAAGTAGGGGTGGGGAGCTAACACCTGTAAGCAGCTTTTTAAAGGTTAAACTTCTTTTGTTTCAAATATGTTCTTCAAATATATGTGCTCATGCAGTTTATTAACCAGATTTTTCTTAGAAAAGGAGGAAGCCACTTAAATTGCACACAGGAGAAGGACAAAGGAGTTCACAAATGGTTCTGATTTCAGCTTAGTGGTATATATTTTGTGCCTGCCACAGCTGTGCCTTTCATCCCCCACCTTGCAATATACCATATTTCTAAGAAGCATTTTAGTTCTTAGAGATAGGAGATTACATCACTGTCCTGCCATTCACAGGCCTCATTGCTAGGCAACAGTTAATGTAATTCCATTGTTCAGTGACACTACTTTGAATCTTTGCTTTGTGTACAGAAAGTGTGTCTGCATTTTGCCATGCTGTACCTAACGTGGCAGGATTTGTGCAGTCACCTTAGCATTTCAGCGTCTTCTGTGCAAAGGGGAGATTTTGTAATAGCTTGTTCACTCTTTTCTGGAGAAGATGTCTTGCTGTTGCTCTTTGTCAGTGAATTTTCAGTTTTACTCCCCCTGGATCTACACAGCACCTTGTATTGGATGAACCTGAGGCTCCTGAATGCTTTTAAGATTCCTGCAGAGTACACAATTACCTTTGCTGCAGAAAGAGGGGCAGAGAGGTGAAATGTATTACTCAAATCCATGCAGAACTGATGATACTTTTGAGCTGGTCTCAGTATCTTTTCCTTTGTCAGTGTTTCCGTAACAAAGTGCTGCAGGGAAGATTCCAAGGAGTGTTCTAGTAGTGGTTATGCAATATTGTTTTATAGGAAGCAGTGGCAGTAATACTGCAGTGCATCCAGTGTGTAGTGGCACACAGTGCTGAAGTCCTGGGTACCACTTGTCTTGTGGCTCGTCCTGTTCCATGCCACACTTTGGACAAAGCCTTGAGCAGCCTGGTCTGAATTCATTGGTGGCCCTGCTTGGAGCAACAAATGGGACTAAATGATGTCCTGAGGTCCCTCCTGGACTGTATTATTATTTGATTCTTTGATGCTACACTAGCATGATCCAGCCCTGTAGTATTACAGTGACTGCAGCTAGCTCTGTGTGTCTGCTCTCCTTTCACAGTGGGTAGCTCCGAGGCTGTGGAGAGGGAAACGAGGGCTGGAGGCAACCTGCAGTGTTCCTCCTTAGATCTGAGCTGGACATCTAACATTCCCCTTGAGTCAGCTCTTGTGTCCAGGGTTTGTAGTGGGGACATTGCCCTTTACAGCAAAGTGGAATTCCCCAGATCACAGCTTAGTCCTTGCGTCTTCTGAGTGGATCATTTTGGCTTAGCCTTGTGTTGGGACACGAGACAAGCTTGTCGTGAAATACTCCAGTTGGTATTGCCCATCACTGCAAATGAGTATTTCATTCTGCAGCAAGTGTGAAGACAGTTAGGAAAGACATCTGTAAAGCACAGACTGGTAAGGCCCTTTTATTTGGGAATACAGGTGTGTTGGTTGGGTCCTCAAGCAATAGTTGTCTGCCCTTCACTGGGTGTGCTCAGCTTCCAGTTAGTGAAGGTATTGACGTTTTGGGGCCCTTGTAACTGTAGGGGAGACAAGGTCAGGCCACATGGATGCAAGAGTTATCTTTGGTATTTTAAATCTGTGCAGTTGCAGATCCATCCTGCAGGACTTAATTACAGTAACTTCAGGTGATTTTTTTGTTTGTTTAATAAGGACCATTTTGTACAACAGTCCTTCTGAGAATGTCTCTGTTACAAGTTTCATGGTATGTGTCTCTAGGTATTTGGTTCTATCTTTAAAGGATTGGTGTTATGTATTTGTTCTTCCTGCTTTGGTGGGAATCAGATTTCCCAGGGCTCTGAACACTTAGGAATGCTGCTGTTTCTAGCAGCTCATCTTTCCGTTCCCTAGCATTGCAATGTGTATCTGTTCTATTCTGATGATAAATCACAGATTGTAATTGGCAACGTTTCTGTGGTGGTGGGTACAATGATTGTTGCCTCCAAGGAAGGTTTGGTGTCAAACTGACCCTGTTGGTGTGTCTGTTGCAGGCAGCAGCAGGTATCCTGTGCTACGTGGGAGCCTATGTGTTCATCACCTATGATGACTATGATCACTTCTTTGATCTGTTCTATTCTGATGATAAATCACAGATTGTAATTGGCAACGTTTCTGTGGTGGTGGGTACAATGATTGTTGCCTCCAAGGAAGGTTTGGTGTCAAACTGACCCTGTTGGTGTGTCTGTTGCAGGCAGCAGCAGGTATCCTGTGCTACGTGGGAGCCTATGTGTTCATCACCTATGATGACTATGATCACTTCTTTGAAGATGTCTACACACTAATCCCAGCTGTTATTATCATAGCTGTGGGAACTCTCCTTTTTATTATTGGACTTATTGGCTGCTGTGCTACAATCCGAGAAAGTCGCTGTGGACTTGCTACAGTAAGTTGCAGAGTTCTTACCTAGTGTTTGGCTGATGTGTTTGGCTCCTTTCCCTTTTAACCAGCTTCTAAATTATTTTTTAAAGTTTGTTCTAGTCTTATTTTATGACCTTGAATGTTTCCCCCTTGTATTTTGTTCAGAACATCTTTTTTCAATCTTCTGTTCTGAGTAAAGGTGTTAAACGAGGCAGTTCTAGCAGCAGAAGGTTTCTCAGTTCTACCTTTTTTAGAACTGTGGTAATCTCATTAAAAAATGTAAAACCATATGATTAAGTCATAACAGTTCTTAAATCTCACTTTGATCTGTTGTGGTTGAAAAGCTGAAATTGGAGAGAGGGAAAGGTGATTCAGGAGCCTTCTTGTTTTAACTTTGTTGCATCAAGTTTGAGGATTGTCATGGTGCCTAATGATTTTCTTTATGGCTTAATTTGGACACTTTGTTTGCAGTATTTTATGTCATGTGTTTCCAAGCATTTTAACTGTCATTTCAGCTTGAAAACTAGGTAGTGAAGAAGAGAAAGGTCAGTATTTAAACTGTCCCCACAGGGGTTTGAGGGGTTCTTTTGTTGAGTGCTATGTAGACTTCTCAACAGTTTATTTTAAAACTGCTTTTAAATATAGCAAGGCAAAGGCTTCAGCTGAAGAAACATTCCCTTAGTCCATCTCCCACTCATGGTAACAGCCAGGATGGCTTGTTTGATGTGACATTCCTGTTTATCTACCAAAGAAGGTTGAAAGAAACACTTGATTAATGCACTCAGTGTGGTGTTTTCAGTACTAATGACTTGCCTGGCTGCTGATTACTTGCTGAAGCTATGAACACTAGTTTCTTGAAGGAATTCTGGGCTCATTTGGTCAACTTAAGTGCCTGCTATAAATGATGGATTAAATCAAAATCTTACCTGAAAAATTACTTGCAATAGAAAAATCTATATACTTTCAGAAAGGAAATGTATAAAACTATTTGCACAAACTCTCTTGATTCTGTTTTTCAGTTCGTGATCATCTTGCTCTTGGTTTTTATCACTGAAGTTGTCGTGGTGGTCCTTGGATACATTTACAGAGCAAAGGTAATAACCTCTCAGTTTCAGTAGATGTTTTGTTGGGAACTATGACCAAAATACAGAAGTGTAGTCATCACTGTGTTTGATTCTGCAGAACTGTTAATATGTATTTAAGGGAATAAAACCAAACCTCTAAGTGGGTTAATTTGTGATACCAATATCTCAAAACTTAGACATGAATATTCTTCAAAGTAAAGCAGAAACTTTTCTGGTAGGCAAAAAAGTAGCTGGAAGATGTCATTAATGGTTGAACAGTAGAGGAGAGTCATGGTAATTGGTACCTTTACATTTTCCAGATGGTCTTCTGATGTATTTGTGCTTTGACTTTGTGAATGATTTGGGCTGCACAATATTTTAACATGGGGCATATTGTTTTGATGTGCAGTAATTTAAATGTTGTCATGTGTTTTGGTCTGCAAACTAACACTGCATCATAATAAAGAGAAATAGATTGAATGTGTTAATGTATACTTTCTAGTTTTGTACAGGTTGTTGACAGGGTTTATAGCTAAAGAAATTGACTTTTCCCACTGTTTGTTTAATGGAAGTTTAGAAACAGGACTAGAAAAATGAAATCAATTGTGTTGCTACCAGCATAGTATAATATTGCAGACATATACCACATGGTATTGTTCATTAATCTATACCACAGTGTAGCTTGGAGAAAAGAAATTTCTGACTTGCAGTTTGCCACTGGTGATATATCTACATCTAAATTTTGCTGCAGAATTACCAGAGAAGACATTTTATCTGTGACATGTACTGTGTTAGCAGTGGAGGGCACTCACTGATACCTGAATGGCAACATGAGCTGCACTACCAGTTCCCTGTCTTTGGTGTTCACACAGACAGTGCAGCTGGTACTGGTTCAGTGTCCTCTCCTCCCTGATTTCTTCTTCTGTCCTGGAAGAAGTGGTGAGACAGCTATGAAGTACCAGTCTGGTGTTGTTGCTTGGTCCCCAGGGAAGGCAGCCCTGAGCAGCAGCTAACAGCACGACCCTGAGGTCCTCCTGTTCCTTCTGTCTCCATAACCTGTTCCAGCAGAAGGGCTTTGTCAGTGGTGCTTAAGTTCAGACTAAGTTTTTCTCATGGTCTGCACTTGATTTCTGGTATTTTGGCAGTGAACTGAGATGTGATTTGGGATTCTAAGGTTTGTAGTGCAGGTGGACTACAGTTCAGGAAAATGGGAAATGTGTTGAGTTCTTACATACTGACTGGAATGGTTTCCCTCTGGTTCAGTACTTGCAGAGATACTGTATTGCACTGTAGTTATGCAGGAATTACCAGGGATCTGATCTGAGCTAAGCTGTGGTCATCTTACTTTCTTCTGTGTTCCCGTGTTGGAGTGACTTGCTGGTTTTCAGTTAGCAGTATTGACAGCAGGACAAAGCAGATGCACAGATCTCCCTTGCCTAGCCCATCTGAAACTACACACTGAGAACACTTAAAAATTGGATTGGTTCCAGCAGTGTGTTCCTGTTGCTGCTTTTGTCTCTTGGTGCCATACAGTTTCACTGCAGCAGGTAGTGCAGGGCCAGACCTTGGGAGAAGAGGGAAGCTATTCTCTTTTTGGTGGCAGCATGATCTTGCATTAAGCTGTTTGTGGGAGTCAGTATTTGAAAACTGAATCTTAACTCTTTTGAAAGGACAGACAGGTTGTGTGAGTAAAAATGGCAGTTTTCTAGTGCCCTGCAGTACTCAGCATCTCAAACTATTGTTTCAAGTGCAACAGGAGTGTCAGAAATAAATTTATTACTGGTAAACTGGGATGGAAGATCTACTTAGCTTGCTGATTATTTTTGACAGGATAAATAAGGCAGTTCTGTGCTTTGCTAATTTGATTCTGTTGTTTCTGACACAGTTTGTATACATCTGTGGGAGTTTTGTTTTTAGAGGCACCTGAATCGTGTTAGAAAATACTTTGTTAACTGTCCAAACTTCACACAAGGAAATATCAGTCATAGCAGTTGTTCATGAAAACTTTGCTCTGTATGGAATTTGCATGGCTTTCAGGCATAATGTTGCCCTAATTGAACCATAAGCCACATGATACACAAGCAAGCACTGAAATAAATGATTTAAAAACGTATATGACAAACTGAACAGCTGCTTTGTTAGGAGTCAGAGTTGTAAATCACATCAGCTAAATCATCAAACAATTGATTTTAAGCTGGTCTGAAGCCAGTTGCCTGTGCAGGCTGAATTGACTTTTCTGCATACCTGTGAAGCCAGTTGCCTGTGCGGGCTGAATTGACTTTTCTGCATACCTGTCTTGCTACAGATTTACTTGGTGAGATGGGCAGCACTCCTGAGGAGGGGGTGGTGGAAAGGAGCTTGTGCTATTGCTGCAGAAAATTCTTCCATTAAAGCATTTAAGGGATTGATGTGTTGACAAGGCCTTCCTACTTTAGCTTGCAAATCTGAGGAACATGCATGCTTAGTGCTCAGTCCTAAAATTACATTCCTTGCACAGAATTCTTGTTGAATCTGATAGGCAAAAAAAATCAGTTCAGAGCTAATCTTAATATTGCACAAATGCTTATCTACAGTAAACTTTCTGTGCATTTAAGTAGCAGTTTGCAATGAAACATGTTATTTAAAAAGGGTCTAGTAAGATTTCCTCCAAACTAGGTATTATAAAATGCCTCTTTGGGGGACAAGTGATGATTCTTGGGTGGCATCCATTTCTAACACATATACTTGACAGCATCTTTAGCAGCTTGACTCATCTGCAGTAGTTTTAGGAGCTATTCCAGTAACTGTTGCCATGTACAATGCACAGTGTTCCTCAGGAAGTGTGGGGAGACTGGGACTGAGCAGAGAGCTTGGTCACTGTGGGTAGGGGTCACTGTAGGGTCAGCCAGAAAGCATCATCTTGGAGAATTCACCTGTGCCTCAGCCAGAATGGGAAGAGCAGGTGGTATGATTTACCACCTTGTGATCCCAAGCAGAGTGAGTCAGCCCAGATGGTTGTACTAGTTTTTGTTTGGATCTTTGAAGGAGGAGTAGGAAGTAGAAAGGTGAATGTATGTTATTCTGGAGAGCTCTTAACCTTGTGGAACGTCTGCCACAGTGTCATGGGAAAAACACATTCCTTTGAGAGACATTGCCAAGCTACTTTGCCTGAAATCTTATGGAAGATACCTGCTGGGACTGTTCTCCCTTAGCCACAAGCTAACAGCACCTTGGCAAAAGTCCAGTCAGAACCTGCACCACCCAGGCGTGCTGAGCTCGGGTGATGGGGAGTCACTTGGTTTGCTGTACTGCTGCAGTTAGAAGACAAACAATTTAACCTGACCTGTACTACCTCTTTTGATGAGCTAATGAGATCTGTTGATGAGCTAATGAGGTGCTCTCCTGCCAATTCCCAGGTGGAGGATGAAGTTGATCACAGCATTCGGAAAGTGTACAACGGCTACAACGGGACGAACCCTGACGCAGCCAGTCGGGACAGAGGCAGGTGAGCTGGGACACTGGGGATTGTCTCTCCTTAGCACACAGCTGCTGTGCTGCCCTGCTGCTTGTGTAGGTGGCCTTCCTCCATTCTGACAAATGGCCAACACATAGCTTCACTTGGTTAAAATTAATACAACCATGATACTGATGATGGGGGATATTTTTTTTGTGTCATTAGCTTGGATTCGAATACCTAGCACTTAAGTATTTTTCTGCACCGGACCATAATTTGAATGTATTTGTCCTCTTGGTATTGCAGTTAGAATTGCTGTCTGATCCCATTTCTTGCCTGCTAAACACATTGACTCTTTATCTGTGTGTTTTTCAGCTGCGCTGCTGTGGGATCCATAACTACTCAGATTGGGAGAACACTGTCTGGTTCAAGCAAACTAAAAACAACAGTGTGCCCCTCAGCTGTTGCAAAGCAGCTCTCAGCAACTGCACTGGCAGCTTGACCCGCCCCATGGACCTGTATTCGGAGGTAAGGCAGCCAAGGCATCAACTCAGACTTTTCCTGACAGTCACTTCATTTGCTTTGGTGGGAACATCAAGTCTCAGGTGCATTTGCTTTAACAGGAAGTAGATGTGGTTGGGGGGGAATTCTCTCTGCTTTTTTCATCTGTGATGTACTAATTACTTTTTTGGTGTTTGGATTGTCTTGCTGCCCTATATGGTGCTTTTAGGGGGGTTTCTGGGGTGTGTTAAATCTGGTTGCCAGATGGCTATATAAGAAGTCTGCCTGTTCCAGGGGTGTGAGGCACTGGTTGTAAAGAAGCTTCAAGAGATCATGATGTATGTCATCTGGGCAGCACTTGCATTTGCTGCTATTCAGGTAAGAGAATATTCTTTATTTGTCAGCTATTTTTTTCAGGTGAAATCCTTAACTGCTCTACAGATAATTACACATTTTACACTGTAACACAGAACTTCCTAACCATGATTGGCCTCAAACCCAATGCTGTGTAGATAAATATGGTCTGTCAGAGTTGAAGGGAGCTGAACAGTCAGTGTTACATGCAGGACTCTGCTATAATGCAAGTGATAAATTATTTCTTGCAAACTAATTATCTGAGTATTAAGTATCATGAATCTCCTCTGTTGGCATTTAACACTTGAGGAATTTAGATAGTATTTGATTTCCAGCTTTAAAACAGATAGCTCATACTTCATGCCAGTTTAGGGACACATCAGCTTAACTGTGCTTTGTGGCATGCAGATAATGTCAGGACCAGCCAGGAGATCCACCCAGGTTTTTCATAGCCTACTCTGCTCTTGTTCAGCTGAGCTTTGCATTGTGTCTGGAGGATTTCTTGGTTTCTGCACTTGAGCAAAAGCAAGAGGTTTAGAACTGGAGAGCTGCCTCCTCAAAACAAAGCACAGACTGTCTCCCACATGAAGCCCAGTTGCCCTGGGCCTTACAGAGTAGCTGTGGAAATACTAATGTGTATGGCAGTATGAAGATTTTTTTTTTTTAAAGACTAGGATTGTCTTCTAAATATACTTGTAAAATGGGAATTTGGAATGCTTAGCAATTTTGCAGACCCAGTGCATTAACAGCATCATTTTCAGACTGTGCCAGTTGTTGTGGCCTCTGAGCAATGTGTCCCAGGAGACTTGGAAACTAATTTCAGAGTTACTTTTGGGCTCTTAATAGTGTTTGAATGTAGACAGCATTGTGCCTATTGAGTCTGACCATTAAGGCACTTTGTTTTCAAAAGCAGCTTTTGAGCTGGATTGTGTGTTTGAAGGTAAATAACCTTTTGCAAACAGCCTTGTGAAAATATGGTTACATTTATACTTCAGTGCTAGGAGGATATACTCCTAGATAACAGTGTATACAGTAATGTTGTACTGTCCAGAACCAGACTGGTTCAGCTGTGGAGCTTTACATTTGGTGAGATCTGTGCTCACTCTCCTGAAGGAAAGGGATTTTCTTAATTGCCTCACTTAAAACTTTAATTTTTAAAGCAGTATTTGATCTGCTTAAACACTGAAATACACTTGTGTCATGTAAATGAGTGTACTTACCACAGCCATGGCTGCCGTGACAGATGAAAAAAATGTGTGTTATGAGAACGAGTGAGCTGAATTCCAGGAGGAGGCATTATTCCTGGCTTTGGAGTTTGAAGGTGGTTGAACTGATCTGGCCTAAAGTGCAGCAGAGTTAGCTTCTCTGGGTCTGGGCCAGAATTCCTGGCACATGCTTGCAGTGGCAGTGTGGCTGCTCACCCTTCTGTTCAGGCTGCTCTATTATTTATCTCCTAGACCTTGAGATATAAGTTGTGACATCCTTATCTTTGTAGTACAGAATTGAAGTATGTCCTTAGCCTGATTCTCAGCAAATGGTCTGTGGGCTAGCTGAGAGGGAGATGAGAATATAACCTTCAGCAAATGGCCTGTAACTCGGGTCATACCCTGTAAACTCACAGGAGTAGTCATGTTTTTCGTACTTTTTGGTGAATTTTACCCCCTTTCCTGTACTTGCTGCACAGAGTCCACTCTGAGCAGATTATTACTTCATATGTCATGCAGTAAGGCTTGTCCAAGGCTCGTGACCTCTGAGAGCCTACAGCCAACAAATCTAAGCCTTCAGTAACTGCTTAAGTAAGACTGAGAAGAGTCTTTTTGCAAGGCTTGGGATTTGCAGAAAACTTAAGTCTTTTCTGCATAGAAGTGATTTTTGGTGAACCATGGGGATCTTCCACTGTGCAATAATTCCCTGGTCTCAGCCACAATGACAGCACAGAACTATTAATAACTAGGAGGCAAAACCAAAAGGGACCCAAGACTCAGCTTCTGTAGCTGGTGATGGTTTACAAATGGTGTGTGTAGGTACAGCCAGTGAACTTCTTTGTACAGAACTGGTTTAAAAGGTTGGATATAGTTAGTGCTAGCAGGGAAAGGAACACAAAATTGATACAAAAGCAAACTAAAACTTTCTGAATGTGAGAGATGACTAAACTTTTCTGAAAGCTGAAGAAGGAGGATCCATGGATCCTTCTGAAATATTTGTGTTCACAATCAGCAGCAACCAAAAAGAAACTAACTCAAATGCCTTAAAATGGGTTTAGAAGTGCTAGCAGATTTTTAATTGCATAGTGAATAATTTCTGTAGAGAATTGAAATATGGGAGATCTGTGTTTGCAGTGAATTCTAGGAATATGCTCAGAGGCCTCCTAAAGGATATAAGTGGTTTAAATAGCAGCTCAAAAGTCAATTGCATGAGGCTTTATTTTAGTACCTGATTGTTGCAGATTTTACACAACTGTATAAACTGAATGTCTTGAGAGTCATTGAACCAGGGTTATGTGTGTGCAAATAACTGTGAGATGGAACTGCATTTGTTTGTTTGATGTACATGGCTAGAATGAATTCTAGCTGAAGACTAAAGGAGGTGTTTCTCTGCAGCAACTGTTTGTTTTAGCCTTGCCTTGAACAGCAGAAAAGATTTAAGTTTTTGTATTTGCAGGCTGTGAACCTTCTTCAGGGTTCCGTAGCCACTGGCAATGGCCTCCAGTGTCTTTTAGTCATGGCTATTCCCTCCTCATTTAGAAGGTCTGTGTCCATGAAGAGCCATTCTCTCATGTCACTGTTTTCTCTTGCCCTGACATGAGTAATCTGCTCTGGTTGATGTCCCTGCTCACTGCAGGAGGGTTGCACTAGATGGGCTGTAAAGGTCTGTCCCAACCCAAACTGTTCCATGATTCTGCTGTAACACATATTTCGGAGTCAGTCTGTGGACTGGAACTCCTGAGTGGAGGAAGGAGCAGTTTTTAACAACTCTAGGTTACTCTCCATATGCTTTTGTAAAGCTGAGCAGGTTTCTGCTATAGATCCATAGCAGATAATGCATTCCAGACAAAGAAGAGTATTAATCTTCACAGCTTGTTCCTTTCCAGGAAATTAAAAGCTCATACCAGAATTTCATCATGCCTCTTCCTAATCACTGCTTAGGTGGATTTAGGGTTTTTAAAGCATTGTGTCTTCAGTCTTTCACAGCACTGTGTTGTGTGACCATCTTTTAATTTTCAAACTTGTTACCCGTGTGATGTTTGCATCAGTCTCTTTATTAAGTAAAGTGAGTAAATCTCCTTTTGTCCAGTGCTGTTTTCACTGGACTTTTGCTCTGTCAACAAAGAAACTTTGCGCTTTGTTGTCTGCTCACCCATTTCATTCTTGTTTGTTTTCTGTTCAAGAGGTTTTTGTGTGTGGTGGCATATTTTTTTTGCTTTTTTTTTTTTGACACTTAATTACCTTCTGGGTGATGCTTTATGCTCCAGAGCTTTGACAGGAACCTCTTAAAATCGATGCAGCCTCTTACTTTACTAGAAGCTATTGCCAGTTACTGAAGACCACAGAACACAGCACTACACCTGCTATTTTTTTAGTAGGTACAATCTTATTCTGCCTCCAATAAACAAGCAGCTTCTTTAAAATCTCATGCCCTATATCACTGATCATTCATGTGGTTTATGTCTTGTCAGTGGACACAGGGTGACCAGACCCTAAATTCCTAGCAAACCTGCCAGCACAGTCGTGGTACTGTGCATTTAACAACATGTCTAAAAGTGAATGACTCACACTGGACTTAAGCTTTCTAATTTGACATGTGAACAGGGATTGAGCACTTCAAAGAGATTTCATAAAACTCTAAAGTTTTTTTCTTTGTCATTGTGGTAATTAGAGGCTGATGCATTTGAATTTCACTTTGTTTTTTTTTTTGTACCAGACACAATATCTAAAAATCAGTACCCTTCATTAAACAATTAGGAATTTCTTCCATCTGAATCATTGAGGCATTGACCAAAAAACATTCTGTTAAAGCTGACCAGGCTGTTCTTGGGAGAAGATGGGGCTGGAGTTTGTGGCCATTGCTTGTTGCAGCAGGAACTGAAGCTTTTTCAAAACAATTGTTTGCAGTGTGGACAGTCACAGCCTTGCCAAGCATGCTGACAATTTGTGTGAGGTTGAGTCTCTTGAAGTACCTTCTTTGTACTCAAGCTTGTTCTCTTTTTTTTTTCTTTTTTTTTCCCTCTTTCTCCCTCTCTCTGTAGCTTCTGGGCATGTTGTGTGCCTGTATAGTTCTATGTAGGAGGAGTCGGGATCCTGCCTACGAGCTGCTCATCACTGGTGGAACCTATGCCTAGAAGAGAATTCAAACATGCAGTTCAATCTTATCTCACTCCTGTGGAAGGTGAATGGGCCAGGTTTACTTGCATAGCTTTCTTGCCCTAAGCTTAGTCCCAGCACACCTTTCACAGGTGAGGACAGCAGTACTGTACACTGGTGATGGGCGAAACAACTCAGCTTTACACACCCCCATATAATGACCTGTGACTTTCACTGTTTTAGCCAGCTATTCATGTATCTAAATGTCTTAGTCTACTAATAAACTTTCTAATTTCAGAACCATTTGCAAGTCAAGTGTAATTTGGTTGATATGAAAGTCAAAGGATGTGTGCCTACTTTGGTAGATTACCTCTAAGCATTACTGGCTGATTCTTGCATATAGAGAGAGGATGTCTTAAACCTTCACAACATGGAACTTTCTTGGCCAAAGCTGTACAAAGGAAGCCAGCTGTATTGAATCTGAGAAGAAACAAGGTTTGAATCTTGCCCCTCACCAGTGTCACTTTTTATGAAAATAAACACTGAAGTCCAGAACACTTTCTATATAAAATAAATTGTAAAAAAAACCAACACCTAACTCATTTTAGAATTGTGACTGCAGTTTTGACCTTCGGAGATCCAGTCTTTCAAACATTAGTGGTTTAAAATACAAGCTGGCTTTTCAGGAGTATAATGTATGCACTACTGTTCTATAATGAAATATTTCCTTTTTCTATGAAGAGAAGTTTGATGTGTCGAGTGAACTGTTAGACTGTAGACCTTGAATTGGTTTGGAAACGATGTAGCCATGTAGAGTAGCAAAGTAATATGTGAAAGTGATCTCAACTGTAAATAGTAAACCCGATTAAATAAATCTCTGTATATCCTCCCTATAAACCTGTCTTGTTTTCTGTTTAAGATCCTGATGTGTTTGGTCAGACAGAGTCCTGGTGTGCTGGACACAAAACTGGTGTTTTCACAAGGCTCAAGTGGCTTCACTTCGATACATACAGATTGTATTTATGGTTTGGTGGAAGATTGATTGTATTGTGTTATATTTGTTCTTTTTATGAGAAACAAAACCAGAGAAACAGCCCAGGAAATGTGGTTGGACTTGATGGGAAGTTAACATTTTGTGCCTGCAATTAAGGAAGAATCTGCTGCCTCTCAACAGTGGGTAATGAATAGCCTTACTCTAACTGCTGTATGTTAATTACGTTTTAATGTGCCTTACATTATTCAGATGCTTAGTCACTGCTCTACTTTCTGTGGCTGCATTTGCTGTTCTTTGCAGAATCCAGGAATGCTCAGAATTTCTCCTAGTTGCTTATGTGCTTTATCATGCAAATCAGACATGCTCAGCAGAACTGACTTCAGCTGCTGTTCTCAGATACCTGAAGAAACATCACTCAGGAAAAGCTGATTCTAATGTGCTCGGTCTGTTGTTAAGGCCAATATATCCTGGGGGGGGTTCAGTTTCTCAGCACTGTTCCAGTGCTGCAGAATTGTACTTTTGCAATGCTGTGTTAACCCCTAGAGGTGGGTTTCAAATGGTACACCCTTAGATTTTCATTCTTAGTCTTCCTGACTGTGACATCACATTTCCCTGCTGCAGCACCAAACCTGCTCACAGAATCTGCTCTCAGAAGCATTAATCAGTTTGATTATCTTCATCGTGTTGTATTTCATATTGTAAATATGCTTGGTAAGATACAAAACTGATCAGGTGGAGATGCTTGTGAGGATGGGAACAGGGAGGTTTTCAAACACCTCTGTGTTGCATAGCAAAGGTAAGGATGCTTCTAAAGGTTGTCAGCTCTGAGTAGCTGCAGGGCTGAAGGAAGCTCCACAGTCAGGAGCCTGCACAAACTCCTTTAAAGTGAGGGTGGTTAGAGATGCAGTGCAGTACTTATTAATCTTGCTAGAAGACATGGATTTGAAGTAGAGATGACTTGACAGTCTAGCACCAAGTACTTTCATGCAGATCAAGGAAGTCTCTGCCTCCTCTGAAAGAGAAGAATTCATGCTGGAATGAAGAAACTTATTCTGAATCTACTCAATATTTTACAGCTCTTTTGCAATCTAAACAAAGCACAAATAAACTTCTAATTCACTGTTGTGAATTAGTTGTTTCGAGGAACCACTGCCCTTGCTCTGCCTG